CGCTGGCCTGGATGACCCGGCAGGCCGTCCTTCCCAGCAGGCCCCTGCACACAGGAACGTGTTGAGAATGACATTACAATATGCTGATATGGGTTGTCTTATTATATGAGGTGAAGACGAGGGTCACTCACATTGGGTCCCTTGGGTCCCACCTCACCTACACGTCCCTGAGGCCCTTGTGGACCCTGCGGTATATGAACATGTGCATTAGTCACAAAAACTAACAACATTAAATCACATGATCAAATTACTTGATTAGTCACAAAATATGTATGAATCTAAAAATCCTCTCTCTAAACGTGTGTGTGTGATATTCTCTTACTCTCTCTCCTGTGGGCCCTGGGGGGCCGTCATGTCCTGAAGACCCCTAGAACAGAGACAGTTTGGCCCTTTACAGTTATTTCAACAATATGAACACTGTCCATTAGAATACACTCATAATCATATTTAATGACTTCAGCACTGCTGATGTAATACAGCTCATGCATTGTTTGTTTCCATGTGTATTGAAGGGCTGATATGACCTCTGACCTTGTCTCCTGATTTCCCAGTGGGTCCTTTTGCACCCCTGCCTCCTCGAGCACCCTGACAACACACATACACACACATTAATGATGTTGGATGTGACTCATGTGGGACGCTGACAATCATCAGTGTGGACAGAGACACTCACATTGGGTCCCCTCTGACCGGCGGCCCCTGCAGGACCCGGTGGACCCTGAGAAACACATTATACTTAAATGAGTGCACATGTATATACTTATGTTTGTGCTTTTAAGTGTCTTTATGACAGTTTGTCTCTTTTGAGTTGTAGAATCAAGCAGTGACCTTCTTCCCCTTTTCTCCTGGAACGCCGACAGGACCTGGAAAACCATCAGCACCCTGAGAGGAAACCACCACAAGACCAGCAGTTATTCTCCCATACAACTGAAACATTCATCCATTCATCATCTGCTCGTACTCCTCTTACCTTTAGGCCCTGACGGCCTGGGTAACCTGGCAAACCTGGAACACCCAGCTTTCCCTAAGAGGACAGGGACAGGAGGGATAAAATCAGAAGAAGGAGACAGAAAAGATTGATCAACAGAAAATGTGTGCAAAAAGGGTGTTTGATAAGATAAAACATTTTCTACGGAGTATTATTGATGATGGTGTTGCAGACTATTTCACCTTTTCTCCAGCGATGCCTGAGGATCCAGGTTCACCCAAGGGACCACTCTGCCCTTTGGGCCCCTCAGGACCATCCTCACCCCGCATCCCTGAAGCACCCAAGTCTCCCTGACAGATACAGATGGGGTTAACAGTATGTTTTAGTCTGTCTGTGGGTGAGTTTGTGTGTTTCATTAGTGTTTGTGTTGTGTGTGTCTGCATGTTATTACAATGTCTCCTTTAGCTCCCATTTCTCCTTTGGCTCCTGGAAAACCATCTTCACCCTGAACACAACACACACATACATGCCAATCAATCAGCGCGATGAAAGGCATGAGTGCTCAATTCACATGCTTCAGAAACCTCTGAAAAACATCTGCACAACCAATAACTTCTAGACATGTGATAATGTCATGATGTCTCAAAATGTCTGGAAATGTAATATATGAAGATGTGCT